TTTCTTTTCTCATGTCTATGCAGGGGGATTTGTTTCTGCTTTGACAATGGAGGAGGTATATGGTTGTTATGTGTGGTAAATTGCCGTGGCCAGTGAGATGGGCATGATGCAAAGAGCCTTTGATTGAAGGAATTGCATGGTGGCTCCAACATTTTCTTCCATGAGCTTAACTACCCGTTGCTCTGTTCCATCGTTCGACCACTTCTCCCATGCTGGTTGGTTTCTTCCGCCCTCACTACTTTAATCCTGGCGTATAATAGAGGAAGCTCAATTGCTTGAATGAATAGCAAAATACATATAAATGTCTGACGCGTGCATGATTACTTAGCTATTACCTCATCTGATGATAGTGGGGTGTCTGATAAAAGTGGTGCCACTGCACCAGCTCCACCCATTCTACTCATGCTCAAAACCTGTTAAATAATCACGTATTATTATGAAGGGAAAATCTTTCTCAAATGAGAATGGTGATTTATTTCTCTTTATTTCCTTAGAAGGACCACTCAAGTTCCTTGAAGAACTAGTAACAAATTCATTGATGCTCTATAAGTATTTACGCAAAGAAAAGTATATGCAGATGCAAACTAACCAACACTGACCCAGATATATTAACGGAGGAAAACTGCTAAAATTGCAAGGCACATTCATCTAATAAGATATCACAGACTGATCCCATAAACATGAGCAGCACTACAACATGCATTATAGCAAAAATCTGAATAAGAAGTATGAAGTCAAACAAGTAAGCAGTGTTAATGATACCCTAACTTGGAGCCTCAGGAACTTCAGACAATCTACAATTTCATCAAGCACGGCTGCTCTATCAATCTGCATAAAGAAATATATGTCACAACTAAATGGAGTAAGAAGCATTATAAAAAGTTAAACTTTCTCATGATTTACTTCCCAAGACATACAAATCTACCATAAAGTCACCCATGTCTCAAAGAGATCCCTATAACAATATTCAACTTAGATAGGTTAAACAACAATAGTCATCTGTAAAGTTATTAAGTTACTAGTTCATGAATTAGAATATTAATCTTTTCAATAGCTGTATAAAATTTGACTTACAGACGGTTAGCTTGGAAATAAGTCTTAAGGAAGTGGACAAACCCTCAAAAACTAATGAAGTTAAACAGTTTTAAAACTTTCAGATCACAAGGTTAGTCATAAAACTATTGCAAGGTTATATTACAACATGGAGCAGATCACCAGTTAGGGGCTGATAAGATCAGTAACATACTGCATTAATGGATTATGGTTCCCTACAGTGAATAAGAGCATGCTCCTTACTATATTAATTTAAAAAATAAAAAAACTGATTAATTTTTTTCCTGCCAACTACAGCACTACCTTCATTTGAGGATAGAGATCCAGTATAAGAAAAAAGTACTTATTCAGAATGTTGCCTAAAAACATATTGGAAATACACAAAAGTCATTTCACAAGCAAAATTTATGAAATGATAAAAAAGGAACTGACCTTGTTAACACTAGGAACAAGTTCCTGTAATGCCCTGATTCTTTCAGTAATTCTCTCCCTGCGCAACTGTACCAAGGGAGAAAATTGAATGGTTCAGTATAATTAGTTATAGTTGCAACCATTTGTTGAGTGGGTTAGCTTTGCAATTTCACAACATAAGAAGTGGCAATAAAGTACAACTTTGCCAGCTATCCTACTAATTCTTTAAAAATTATATATCCGGTTTTATATATCTCTATATTTTTATATATGATTTCTCTATGCTAGATATGTAAAAGAGACAGAATAATACTTATCTTTTATAGTTTATAACTCCATGATGTCCTGGCCACATCTTATGATTAATCTGTTACTTTCCATAGCCAAATACAAATACTCAAAAAAAAAACTTTTAAAATACAATTTTTCTCAATGGACCACCTTCTACATTGCATATAAAGCAAACAATAGAAATAGTATTTGAAAAGCCAATTTCATTCAAACATCTTATGTCATCAAAAGACATTCATTCAATATATCCAATTCCTAACTATTAAAATTTTTCCCGGCCAAGGAAATAGCCTTGTCATGCCTTTTGATTCTAGATCGAAACATATACCTGAATTACTGCTCTTCAATATATTTTGTCACTCCCATGTTTACTGTGATTATTCATAAAAAATTAAGCTTACATGTTCAGCAATACTGTGTGGATCTGTGGCCTGTCCTCGTCTAGCCCTCACCCTTGGACACATTACTGGTGGATGTGGTGCTCCAGCAACAGTTGCTGGAATTGGTTGGCCACGGAAAACCTGGAAAGTTATGCAAGTCCATATGACCAATGATAGAATTTACAGAATAAGATAGCACCGTCTAAAACCGATACCATCTTTTCTATCTTGACCACCTATCTCTCCTCTTGACAAGGAAATGAGGGTAAAGGGATTTATATACAAAAATAAATGTTTGGAATCTAGGCATAAAGCAGTGGAACAAACAACAGAAATCTTATCAGAATAGGACTTTTGGAGTTTTTAAAACTTTTGCAAAATATTTCCCACACTATTTGTAGAATAAACTGAAAGTATAAATAACTAAAATATTAAAGCAATTGCTCCAGATGATAGAATGTCTTGATCATGACTGATACTTTAAATCTATATTAAATAAGCAAAAGAAAACTTAGATCTGTATTTCTTCTGTCATAATTTTAACTTCTGTACATTTTCTAACATAATAAGAGATGTTCTGAAATTTGAAACTTTCCACAAATAATTGAACTCTTATCTGATTTTGACAATTTTTGGTGCGTGAACCTACTCAGGACCACTTTCCCCTGGCAGATGGACCAGCCATTAACAGAAGACCAATTCCCAAACTCAAATGAAAATGCATGACATTAGTAGAAATTAAGGAAACAACTACCAGTAATTTTAATGGCCTTTAAAGTGTAATATAAAGGAGATATTAGATATGAGCCTAGCCTTCAAGTTTCAACCATATGTTCTTTAATCCATGAAAAAAATAATATCATTTTGGAGTAAAACTCTCCTTTATTTGCTGATGCATGTTTGATGGTAATTAGCAGTGGAATCAGACTGTTCTTTGATAGAACAATTCTACCCTGCCAGTTAGTTTAATTATGTCACTCGAAAAACCTAGAAGGACCTTGGTGTACTCTTTCCTTTGTTTCTTCAAACTGGCATCTCACAACACTAACTCCCAACCCAACCCTGCTCCAAACATTGTCATGTTTTTCCTTGTCATCTCTGCTATTAGACAGAAACACACGACATAGCAACATAATAAAAAATCAAACAGACAAATTTGCTGTCACACCACATTTGACAATGCAAAACTTAGAATAACCCAACAAGGACAAATAGACAAGCTCCAATTAATGTAAAAAAAAAAAAGTAACTGTAATAATTAATAAGAAATTCACTCATTAGTTAACACCACAAAAACTAGCTCCTTAAGTTCCCAAAAGAAATTGCTCCACTATTAAAGAAAATTATGTTTTTTTATCCTTTCTTCAGTTCCTCGTGGGCCAAGCCAACACTTGGGGAAAATAAATAAAATTAAAAGATAAATTATGCTTCTTACACTTTCTTACAGAAAAAGCTCTGCCATCATCTATTTTAAATATTCAATTTAAAACCAATTGACAATAAGTGAAATAGCCCAACTTGAATACAAGAATATAAAAAATTTGATATTTGTTAGATATAGAAGAAACCTATTACAAGACAGATTTAGAAATGGCAATAAAAGAAAATCATGACTCTGATATTATGTTACTATCCAACTTAAAATCAATTGACAATAAGTGGAGGAGCTCAACTTGAACATAAGACTACAGAAAATTGAATATTTATTAAATGTGGGATAACCCACTTTAATAAAATACCTGGTCGCGAAAGCACTTGCCGCTTCCTGAAGCTTCCTCAGGCTTCAAAAACCCGCCTTTTCCTTGCTCCAAGCTCAACTCCAGAGGGAAAATCTGTCCGTGAAACGCGCCAACTCCCCCACCGCCGATTGCGCGGAGATGTCCCGCGCCATCAACGGAGTTGAGCTGCAGCATCATCGACGCTCCAGCCGCTGCAGTGGTTTCAGCCAAGCCACCGTCGGGTCCCGCTAAGCCCATCTCAGTTGGCGCGAAGCTAGGGAATCTGAGGATTTGCTCGAAGAAATTATCGGCGGGAGCCTCGTTGGGGTTATTGGCCATGAGAAAGTCGAAGAGATAGTAGTGGAAGTGAGTCGAAGTGGCCAGTTATGAGTACCAAAGAGCATCTACTTGCAAAAAGGAAATAGCGAAAGAGGCTTGAACCAAACAAAATAAAATAAAAAGAATATTTTAAAAAAAAACCTTACGTTTTTTTCCTTAGCTTTCTTTCTTTCTCCTCCATTGAGATGCGAAAGTTTTTCTTTTGCTTTTTTTTTTTTTCTTCATGAGAGAAAAAGAAAGGGAAGCGAAAGAGAAAGAGTCAAAGAGGGGACGAAAAGCAGAGTGGCGTTTTATCGTGGTTAAAAAATGTAGCGTTTTTATAAAAGGAGTCGGACTTTGATCAAAATTACGTGGGAAACCATTTTCCACGTTTGCTTGGGTTTGTCGACGTGGTCCGGTCTGGGAACGGCGTCGGTTTTTATTTTGTATATTATGAAGTAGTTTTTCATTATTTAGTAAATTCCGGCCAACTGCCTTTGTGGGAAGTTGGAACAGTGCTTCTTCAATATTTGCATGCCTGGTTATGCTTCTGCCTCCTATTAGATATTTCTTATGTCTAATTTGATTTTGTTGATAAAAGTAGTTTTTCATTAAAAAATTATTTTTATTCAACTTCAATATTAAACAATAAAAAAATAACTTTTAAATTAAAATTTTAACTTTACAATCCAAATAAAAAAAAAAAAACTATTATAGAATTGCTTTTACGATAAAAAAATATTTTTAGAATAAAAAATTACTTATTATTTAATATTTTTATTGTAACAATACTAAACACTTTAAAATTTTTAAATGCTAAACCAGCAGTTACTTGCTTTATTAATATATCAGAACAGATAGCAGGATGGCAGGATGGGAAGCCGTTGGTGTGATTGTTGGCAGTGCCATGGCTAAGCTGCTGGCTGAAGCAAACTCTCCTTATCTGCGCTTCCTTGATGATTTTAATGGAATAAAATCAGACTTCAACAATGGTTCTTTTCATTGAAATAATGTTGAATCTCTGTTTTGCAAGATCATGTCTCGATTGCGTTTTTATCTTTTCATTGAGTAATCTATCTGTGATTTGCAGATAGAACGTATCTCCGATGAAAATTTCTGAATTGGTCTATTCATCTTAATTGGAGCTGCTGCTCCTTTTGAAACCCAGTGAAAACATTTCAACTGGACTAAAAAATGCAAAGACCATTCAGATATAAGAATGATCTGGCACAGATTCATGAATTAGACATTGTTGGAGTTGCAAAAGCTGATATCATCTTCAAGAAAAGGAAAAGGAAGAAAAGAAAAAGAATAAATAAAATTCAATTCAACCATTCCTCTCTAACCCATTGAAAGTTATAAATGCAACACTTATCTCTTAGCAGTATGAAAGCTAGATTCTAAAATATTTGCAAGCAAAGGGCAAAAATGGCCAAATTCCCTAAGCATAAGCTGAATGCCCCACTGTTTAGAAAGAGAAACAAGATCTGAAAGAGAAGAGACTGCTTCATTAAAAAAAAAAAAATGGTATGGTAAAGAATAATAAAGAACCACTACTCTAAGCCATAAAATAGAGTGCATGTGTGACAATGTAGTAGAATGTGCACATGTACGCATGTATATTAAGAGTAATTGCTTCCAAATATTCCCGATCCTGAAACTCTGAGGACAGGAACAATGAAGATATTAGATCACTCTTGCTCCTTATGAAGCTACACATTATTAAGAACATAAGATGAACTTCAAATTTTATCAATAAACAAATTAGCAGTTCAAGAAGTGTGTAACACCATATCTCATTCTCGTGTAAGTTTTTAAAAGAAAAGAAATTCTTTTCCCTCTAAAGAAAAAGAATAACAAATTACTAATTAGAGCTTTTACACGGTAGCAATGAGCTGCCAGATAATGCTAGGGTAAGAATTTTTTGCATGGGAGAAATTTACTAAAAGAAAGCAAAATAGTTCAATCCAGAGATTGCCTCAAATATGGGTGTGAATCATCTCAAGAAACAAATTGAAAAGCCATCCCATTGAATCTTGAGAAGGAAAAAGACAATAAAGGGAGGGATTAAATGAGAGGAAACACAAGAAAAAAAATGCAATTTCCCAAAAGAGTCAACTTATAAATGGCCAAAAAAAGTAAGTTTCCCTATAATATAACTTATTTAGGAGAGGTGAAGGCCATCAGTGGCATAATCCTACAAAAATTTAGACAAATGAAAACAGTTTTAGAATTTTGCCTAAGAAGGTTTCTTGGATGAATCCATAGCAAAAATTAAATTCATAGCAACAGAAATTAATTTGAAGAAATACAAGAATGGCAGTAGCAGTGAGAGTGTGCAAACACACTGGCAGCCATTTCCCACCAAAAGCAGCCTACAACACATTTACAGTATAAGACCCACAGCCTCAGACCGATTAACAAGTTAAAATGCAACGAGAAAGAAGGAATGAAAACCTCACAAATCCTAGATAAAGGTGAGAAGAAGGTACCATGAAACTTAAACCAGCAAACAAAAGAAAGAAAACTATTCAACAGAGATACAAGTACTACATTTAAAACTGACACTACAAGAACAAGACCATAGTAACAGCTAAAAATGGTCCCCCTCATTGCTCAAAATGAAGACTTAAGTTCAATCCAGGTTGCAGATGCATAACAAAAACATGATCTCAATCTAGAAATGGAGATAATTACCAAAAGGAAGAAATGAAAATATAGATAAAAACATGACCGAACAAGCTTTCTTACACCTTCTCTTCCCTCTCTCGATTCCATTGTTCAATCCTGGCTCTCCGCTCCTCACTCCCTTCCCTAGCAGGTGGAGGGCTTCTACTTCGCCTAGGACTCCCATGCTTTCTCCTGCCACCACTGTCACGGTCGTACCTGTCAGGTCTTCGCCCATTCCTATCCCGATGATCATCACGGTCGCGGTCACGGTCGCGGTCCCTAAACTCCCTATCACGCCTGTGGCGTGGACTGGCGCTCCTGCTCCTGCTCCGACTCCCTCTGAACCTGCGGTAGCTCCCAAAAAGCTTCCTTCTCAGCTCCTTCCCAATTACCTTGACATGCATAAAATTACAGTAACCCCCACGGTTACAGCTATTCTCCTCGAATTGCCGACAAGTCGCCTCGCGGAAATCAGTGACCGGGGAGAAATCCGCAATGATAGGCCGACCGGAGTAGAACCTTCCTTGAAGTGCCTGGAGGGCGGCTGCCGCCTGGTCCTCCTCCCTGAACTGAACATACACGTTCCCAATCATGTGGTCGGCAAGGTTGTCACAGACGTTGAGGCTCTCGATTTCACCGAACTTGCTCAGCTCCTCGAAGATATCCTCGTAGAAGTCCTCGAAGTGCTCTTGGATCTTGCGGGGGTCGATGGGCTGGCCCTGTGGGTCCACTCCGGGGGTGATCATGTCCGGACGCTGGTACATGTTCGACAGCAGGAGGGTTGGGGATGTTGTCGGCCTGTTGTGGAGCCGTGAGCACCTATCTCCATGCCGGCATGCTCCAATCTTGAAATAGAAGGGACAATTCACGCGGTCCTTCTCGGTACCGAAGATTGAGGCCAAGTGCTCCGCCATTGACGCTCGAAATTATGAACAAAAACAAGTGCAGGAGATTTGTAAATATGTTTTTAGTTAAAACCCCTAATCCAATTGAAGAAGAAAGCAACGAAAAAGAGGTAGGATTTGGAGGAAATATGGTAGGTTTAGGGGTTTCGAAACCCTAATTTTGGGCTTTTGAAGGAGGAAGGGGGAAAGAGAGGAGTAGGATTTTTCTTTTTCGTTTGGGCCTCGGGCATCGGGGATTGGGGAAGGATCTCGCGGATTCAGCATGCGCCGAGGAAAGCTTTCGTAGTTCGTAAGAATGAGGTTTGTGGAGAGGCTATATTAGTAGTATTTCGTATTCCGTATTTCCTAGTTCGTAGCCCTTGACACCCCACGGTCAACCCAAGCTTTCTTCACTTTTGCTGTTTTCAGCGCGATTAAGTAATAATCACTTCTATAATTTTTAATTTGATATTTAAATTTAAATTTTTTTTAATAAATATGTAAATTATAAATTAATTAATTAATATAATATTAACTTTAAATAATAAAATAATTAATTTTTTAAAACATTATATTAATTAATACATTTATAATTTAAATATTATATTAAAAATTTTAAATTTAGATATAATTTTAAATATCTCATTATAATTTAAGACTAATGTTCATCGCATTAATCCTAATAAAATTCAACGTTCAGTTGTTCGGCCAAATCTCGGTTATACATTTCTTGCAGGCAGCATCCGGAACCAAAGCCTAATGGGTCCATAATGGGCTTTTGGGTTTTGAGCTTCGATGAAAACATTTGAATATAACTCATAGATATACAGACGGATAATTTTTCTTTTAACTAATTATGATTGAAAAACGTGCATCTAAAAAGTACAGTGAGAAGAATGTCATTAAAAATTTTAATTATTCGTTATTATTGTAAAAAAGTACGATGAAAAATTAAAATTTATAAAATAATAAAATATTATAAATATAGTGATAATAAATAATTTTTTTTAAAAATATATTTTTTAACAAGTTTATCATGTTAATCGGTAAGCTTTTGATCCAAAATTGTTATCGTATCGATGATTTTTAAAAAATAATGTAGTATATGTTGATATTAATTATTTTAATATATTATTTTAAAATTATTGATTTCGTATAAATATATTTATAAATATACATAAATTTATATATAATAATATTATTAATAATTTATAAAATAAATATGTAATATCTTAAAAAATTATATAAATAAGTTTAAAAAGATAAAAAATAATATCATCAATTTATCATGATAATTTTAAATATTTAATATAATCATATTATATTTAAATAAATATTTTTTTCATGTAAATATTAAGATAAAATAAAAAAATAAAAAAAATTAACCTGATTTCATGATTATTAATATTTAGAAAGAATAATATAATTATTTTCTTAAAGAGATTAAAATATTTATAAATTTTTGTTCGAAAAAACAAAATATAATAATAAATAAATAAATTTAAATTTTAAGAGTTATTTTATCAATTAATTTTATTTTTGTTAGATTAAAAATAATCAAATAATAAAAAATAAATTAAAAATTATAAAATATATTTTACATTCACGTACTAATTGAAACGAATTATTGAATTGAAATTTATCGAAACTAATCAAAATTAACAAAAATAATCAATATCATTCAATGTTAAATTTAATATAAAAATTACATTTAAATATATCATATTTTAAAATAATTAAAACGTATCAACTAAAACAATCTCGAAATAAAATTAACAAGAATACTCCGATCCCCTCATCCAAAAAAGACGATTCAATTAAACCATCATTACCTTAACAAGTATGCATCAGCAACTGTTGGATGATGGACACCACCCAACTCCAAAAGTTTCTTCAAACGTAAGTAATTCAATTCAAAAGGCCATCAAACCATGTCTCCTAACAAAAGTAGTATATTTTATCTCATAGAAAGTAGAAAGAGAACCATTGCAACTCTCTGAAAAGAATAATTTAACGCCTCCCAGATGCCACTGATTCAGCAGAGAAGAGGTATTTAACTCGTGAAAGAACAGAATCATGTGCAGGATCATAACTCATACGGATGATCCTTGGATGGAATCTCCAAAATTGCTCGAAGCTATCCACCAGAAACCTTATCATGTTTGCAATCTGCAATTAAAAGGATGGGAGGCCACAGCTTAATTTAGTATACCAAACTTGAGTTAAGAATGCAATTCAAATAGAAATTCTATAGTTGTGTTTGCATTGGTATCGTTACAGACGAAACTATGAAAGTTTGAGATTCAGAAGACAAGACCTTTGGTTAATCTAACTAGCTAGTGGCCGACATCAGAATAAGATGATGCCATCAAAGCGAAAAGGAAATTCTTCATAATGTCAGTAACAGCTAGCATGCATGAAGTTTTATCCAAATCGGAAAAAATTTATATGAAATTTTATAAATGAAATTCGTAAAATTTTTTATTATAAATAAATTAATTAAAATTAAAAATTAAAATATTTTATTATATAAATTAAAAATATAAATTTTAAAATTTTGTTGATATATTTATTAAATAAATATTTTTAATAAAATTTTTATCATTAAATAAGTTTTGATTAAATTTAGATTATAAATAATATTTTTAATATTTTTACAATAAATTTTATTAATTTATCAATTTAAATTTTTTATCAATTTTTTTATTTACTTATTTTTAATAAATAATTTCACAAACTCCATCTATATAATTTCATATAAATTTTATCCCAATCCGCATTATCAAATTTGACACTGTAGTTCAAGATACTCTCTCATGCACTGAAATATATAGTAGGTTTGCGCAAAACTGTAACAATGGTTCTCTTGTCATTGGGGGATTCGCATGTGTGCGTTAGAATGTTTACGATATTCTCAAATATTGAAAAATAAAAATTTTAAAATAATTTTCTTTGGATAGTTTAAAAAATTTTTAAATATTTTTCATCAATAAAATTAATAAATTTATCGATAATTTTTTAATATATATTTATAAATAAATGTTCATAAAAAATTTTTAAAATCAACAAATCTGTTCATCCTTAAACTGTGCCCATAACCGTGTGATTGGCTTCTGATTGAGCAACAAATGATCAATAAACAAAATTTCCATATAGAATGACATAATAGGGCAAGTTTGAAGTAACTCGTCGTTGTTGCAAGAATTTACAAAGTCATTTTATCAAATGGTTTTGTGTTTGATCAATCTCATCATCAGGATTACCATTTACTAGTCTCTTTGGTTGTTATTGATCATGTCATGAAAAGAAAAGCCATGAAAAAGTTAGCGTAGATGATCACTTAAATAATACACTTCGATAACCAAGGCAATTTATGTTCACACTTCGAAGATAACTTGTTACCCAACAGTGACTTCTAAGGAGAGGGATGAGCGTGACTTAATGACGATGATGATGATATGGATGCAACAGATGTTACATGATCTATGCTTGTCAGCTTTTCATAGCTCTCCTCAGCCACACATTACAACTTTCTGTGCGTAATACAGCTCAATAAACAGATAGATAATTGCATGAAAGCTGCAGAAAAGAATTGATGTTTTATGACAACATATGCAGTAAACAACTTTCATATTGGCTAATCAGCACGAGAGCTAACAGTGTCTTCCATCAGTTCATCCTATGGATGTTTTCGTTAGTTAATTTAACTAATTAATTCTGTTAAAAAAAACACCTAAATTAAATATTTATCTACATTTCTTACGTCTGATTGACATAAAAATTCCGGCGTTGTCAAAAGGAATGAACGGCAAATTTGCAGGGGAAAATGCAGTAATAAAAATATAAAATCATATAAAAACACCTGATGGATCGTCTGCTCTTGTTATCACCATTCGATTTGAAGGCTCAACGCGAACTTGCAGAGGCGGGTTGTAGATGTAAACTACCAGATGATACTGACACATTGAATCCAAAGGCTCTTTGGTAAAAAAACATTACCGTTGGAACCACGACGTTTCTTCTCTCGAAGTCTTACGGGATCTTCACGCTGAAATTATCGCTACATATATTTGCCTATTTCACGTTAGCTAAAGGCCCCGCCAAACATAAATTACCATAGTTTACTTATGTTAAAATTGAAATATTATCTTTTTTTTTTTAATTGGAAATCTATTTCAATATTTTTCATACTTATGCAAAAAAAAAAAAATCTTAATTGATTATTTATTTTTAAATTTGAATGTAATTTTTTTTATTACATCAAATATAAATTTTTAATACAAATAAAAAAGATGAAGGAGATTTGATTCGAAATTAAATATTTGATGTCTTTTCAAATATTTTTAATCACTAAATCAAAAGTTTAAAGATAAATTTAAATGTAATTATATAGTTTAAGTCAGAGTTTTACTTTTAAATTTTAGATTTGTGATATATGATTATTCTAAAGGCCTTATTCTAGTTTTGTTATCCTATATTTTATTATTATTATTATAAAATAAAAGTAAACTATCCTTTATTAAATGTCCTATTTTCTCTTCACTCGTATTTTCATCGTTTCATTATTTTGTCTCTTTATTCATCTTCAAAATATTATCTAGACAACTGAAAAATGTCTTAAAATATTAATTTTGACACCCTAATCTCAACAAAATTAAAGTTTTAGGTTTAAATTATTCTCTAGAATCTAATTTTTATATAATATCTCTTGTAGTGATATTTATATTCATACTTTCATATATATATATATATATATTAGATGAAGTATATAAAACAATAAACATTATGATATTTTATTTTTAGTTTCACATTGTCTCACCAAAAAAAAGAAACTATTACCTTAAAATTATCCAATTTTTTATCACCTCAATTACTAGTGTAAATGATACATTAATATTCATATACTATTAAAGTTTGAATCGAATAAAATTTGAATTCGATTTAATTATTATCAAATAAAATTTAAACTCTAATAGTTCGATTTATCAATTGAACCGAATTCGAACATACTTATATTTAACTCGAGTAATTCGTAAATTTAATCAAATTTTTATATTTTAATATGTTTTATTATTTTAACTAATAAAATATCTCAAACTTGAGTTAAAATACAAATAATCAAGTTTTTATCAAATATAAAAATTAAACTTATTTTTATATGTTAATTAAATATAATTAAACGAATTTAAATAATTTAATTTTTATTTTGAATCAAATTCAAATAAAATAAATTTTGATCAAATTCAAATCAAATTTTAAATCTTAAATTTTGAATCAAATTTTAATTCAAACTAAAATTTAAACACAAATCAGATCAATTGCAATTTTAACCTTAATTTCAAAATCCAATATAATGTTTGGATGGAAAATATACTTTCCTTGAGATATTACGAAATAGTGGTGACGTGTCAAGCGGTACAACAAAATCCTTAGTCCGGGACCCAGCCTATTGTCTTAATCCAATTATTTGTTTGGATGGAAAATATACTTTCCTTGAGATATTGGGAAATAGAGGTGACATGTCAAGCCGTACAGCAAAAACCTTGTCCGGTTACGGTGTATTGTCCATTCAGTTACAAATCGAGAATGAAATCGATCACGCTTTTTTGACCAAGGAAAGTAGGCCCCAACCACTTTCACACTAGTTCTTGTCCCTAATAGGTACAATTTTGCATAGGCCCCGCCCCTCCCTCTCTTTTTCGAGCCTTGGTCCGCAGATCCAGCTTCGCAAAATCAAGCGCTTAAAATTTCAGCAATAAGTGCCGTCACTACCCACTAAAAAATAACACGTGTTTTGACGACCCACACGATCCACGCGGCGAACTCTTATTGGATGTTTTGTAGACCACAAAGCAGTATATATTTTCTTTTCTTTTTTTTTTTTGGAGGATAAAACAGGAAGAAACGGAGAGAAAAGGGGAATTGCAAATTGCAGAGAAAGAAAAGATTGCACTGAAAACGGTCAACGATGCATACTGTGTTCTCAGTTGATGATTTCTCCGACTCCTTCTGGGCGGCTACGCTTTCTGAGGCTGCGGCGGGGATGAACAGAAGCCAATCTGAGTGGGCGTTGGAGAGGTTTCTAGAAGAATTTTCTGGTGCGGGCGGAGCGATCCCGGGGTCGCGTGCCGGCGAGAATGTGATTGGTCCGTCCTTGGCGGCACCTCAGCCGTCTTTTTCCAAAGCTGAAGAAGGTGACGGGGATGGTGACGTGGTGGAGATAAAAACGCCTAATAATCAGAATCATAATCCTCCGCCGTCCGATTCGACACCGACGGTCCCGACTGACTTGGATGAGTTGCGTGCGATCCTCATGAACAAGCTTGAACAAGAATGCGCTGCTTTTGCTCTCTCTCGTGTATTCCTCTCTCTCAAATCTCCATTCCAGTTGGATCTAATAATAATAATACTAGTAATCTTGTTATTTCCAAAAACTCCTGAGTTATAATCTGCGAAAATTATTCAGGCGTCTGCTGTGAAGGCGAAAGATTCGTCTGCCCTAACTGAAAATCAAGCACTTAAATCGGGACCCCAAGTTAAAGGTAAGCTTTTGCATGGCATGCCTCTGATTTGATTTTTTTAGAATCCGGGTCTCTAGATTTTTTTTTCTCTAACGCAATAGATGGAATATTTTTACACTGAGAGAGGAAGGAACGTTTACGTTTCTCATTCTTAGGGAACTTTTTCTTTATAAGGTAGGATCTACATACGATTTCGGAATCCCTGCAAATGCATTTTAGGGATTGTCATCTGTTTTTTCATTTTTGATATCTTGTTTCTTTCACTTAGGCAAATTGTATGGAGCCAATTTTGAGTCAGTTCAGATGGGTACTTTTATTCCTGATAAGGAGTTTGATTGGTAGGGAGTCAATTAATAATAGTTAAATGTTTCTGATGTAAACAGAGTTATGGTTTGTGTAAACATGCACCTATTGTCTTTTTAGATGAAGGCAGCCTACTTACTGAAATTCAATTAGCGTTGAAGTGCAGATGGGATGGCGACTATGGTTTTATGTTGGGTGATTAGCATTTAGTAGTATCTTGCTTATAAGCTTGTGTCGTTGTAATAGGTGGCTGCAACCAATTAACATTGAGTCCTTTACCTTAGATTGAGTTTGTCAGCCCCTTGATATACGGGACAAGCCTATATGCTGTTGAATTGAATGTAGTTCATCAAGTCTGATTTGTTTGGGTTCAGCTAGTGCAAGAATGAATGAAAGGAATATTTCTGTATTTTGGTCCTTCTATGTTAACTCCAATGATTGTTTGGCTGCTTGGTGAACTGTAGGAAAACATTGATTTCTATTTAGTTGTTGCTGGAGTCATCCTACATATTTCATGCATGATTGTGCCTAATGATAGTAACAGTCCATGTTTTCACGGAGTGCAATGTGATTCCATCTCTAATTTATGCTTGTGTTGAGAGAGTGAAGGAAAGGAAAATGAATTGAAAGATGGAAGGATATATTAAAACAGAATTAATTGTTTACTAGCTTGGTAGTTTTATTAGTTTCCGATAAACTTTACATAGGCAATCAAATAAAACAAGTAACATTACCCTGTTTATATTTTATTTTTCTTCACTTCTCAGTTTTCTTCTAACTTCTTTTTCTTGACATTTTCTAGGATCTAAACAGTAAACAATATTCTAAAGAATTTTGAAACTCTTCATGCAGTCATTTGGTTCTCATCTTCCCATAACTACTTATACTTTACATATAATAATATCTTGCTGATTTTTCTTTTTAATAAAAAAATCTACCATTGTAGGTTCCTCAAAGGTACAGGGTGAGCCAGATGCTGCACCTTGTGGAATTTCAGCTATGTCAACTACACAAAAAAAATCAGTGGTACAAGTGAGGCAAACCACAAGTGGGTCATCAAGAGAAGATTCAGATGATGATGAACTTGAAGGAGAGACTGAAACCACCGAGAACATGGATCCAGCTGATGCAAAACGTGCAAGGAGGTGATCCATGTTTTATATTTTGTCTTATAATCTTGATTGGTTTGAGCGGTTTGAAATGCTATTTGTTCTGTTCTTTGTTCTCTTTTGCTTAACATGTTTTCTTTCCTTTTTTTTTTTCCCTCTTTTTCTTAGTACTAATTTAAAATGATTTTCTTCTCTTTTTAAGTAACAGGTATAAGAAGTAATTTGTTGTCTCGGGAAGAATCAAATATTTATTTTTCAAAGCGAACTTGAGCTGATGACTCTGTACACTTAATCAAACAAACTACCATTACCTTCATCAAAACTTAATTACCGCACTTGCCTCAGGGATCCATGTCTTTCATGGAATATGAATTTCTTTTCGTTTTGTTTTGTTTTGTTTTTCTATTTTTAAAAATCAATATATTTGTAAGGTATAATCATCCTTTTTTTAGTACCATATGTGTGAATTAATAAATTCTTACAAAACTTAAAATTTTAATTTGCTGATACAAATACAAAATTGCTGTATACTTATTGGTACAATGGTGATGGCTCAGAATGCGGTCAAATCGAGAATCAGCCAGACGCTCTAGAAGAAGAAAGCAGGCACATATGAATGAACTTGAAGAGCAGGTTTGCCGAATCATTCCCCCCCTTCCCCTTGATATTGTCTTGTACTCTGTCCTTTTTGATCCTTTAAGTGGTTTTTTTCTAGGTTGGTCAACTAAGAGATGAACATTCAACATTACTTAAGCGTCTAACTGACATGAATCACAAGCATGATGAAGCTGCTGTTGACAATAGAATTCTGAAGGCTGATATTGAGACATTAAGAGCAAAGGTGAAAATCACCATTGTCTAATTTTGCACTTTCTTATCATGATCCAGTTTTTCTGCAGTTAGTTGATATCTGAGCCCTCCTGAAAGTTGGAAACTTACTTCCAAATAAATGACAGGAGAATATATTATTTTGACACCACAAAGTTTGTGAAGATTAGTCTATGTCAAATTTTGAAAAGCCATGGCCAATTCATTTTCCTTCTTCATCTTGGATTAAAGGATTTAATCCTAAATGCGCTTGCAGAATATATTAACTGCAATTCTCTCAGGGGAAGGGAGATTAATTTGGTTGTTGGCAATTTATATGTGCTCCATTTCAGGGATATGCTGGACATTTCCAGTACTGACACACTGTCAGTTCTCTGGTGTGTTCAACTTTTCATATACTTAAAATTATTCATGATTTGTATGCCTCTCTGAATTTATACAATGGGTACTGACATGATCTTTTGTGTTAGTTAATGCCATTTTGCATTGCATTAAAGTTACCTTGTTGAACATATGCCAATGTCAGTGTCTGGACTGTTGCCAACTGTGAAACACAATCATTCATGAAACTGCTGCAAGACTGATTATAAATCTTTAACTATTTTACTTGCTATAAATCACTATTAATTATGATTGGTGCAATTTTAATTCTGGGTTGTCAGGTTGAATTTTCTATTTGAAATTTTCAGGTGAAAATGGCAGAAGAAACAGTTAAGCGGGTGACGGGGATTAACCCTGTTCTTCTATCTATGTCCAATGTACCTAGTGTAGGCATGTCCTTTGTTAGCAGCCCATTGGAAGCATCTACAGCTGCTCCTGTACCATTGCAGCCAAATACTAATCAGTTTTTTCACCAACCAGTTCCTAGCATTGATGTTCCCATTCATCATCAGAGAGTGGACAACAGTTTCCCAGGCAACACCCTGGTTCCTCCTAATGTGAATCCACAAACTGAAGGAGTGAAACATGTCAATGAAACGTCTGCATTGCAGCATACACCCAGCTTGGAGCATGTCCAAGATCGGGTAGAGCACACTGGCATGCAAAAGCAGATTGGCCCTAGTGTCAGTCCATGCGGACCCATGCCTGGCTGGGAGCCTCGACTATCCCATGCGGCTGTCAATAACAAGAAGCTAAGTTGAATTTTATTGCCCCTCTTGTTTCCGGAGATGGGTTTTAAGAAGCTTAGCTGTTGGTACTACTATTGGTTAAATCTATTCATAAGTATTGATTCTCACTGCATTCTTGTATTCAAGACCTTCATCTGCATTGACCATCATATCTGTTACCATAACATGGCTATACTCCTCAGTTCTTTGAGTATACTTATTTGGTAAATAATGATGTATGAAATTTCTATAAAATTCATGTAATTTTGCTCAAGGAGCTAAATCTGCTGTTATGGTACTCCATTTCAGCTATTAAAGATGGACCATTCAAAAAATTTGAATACTTGTTTTTTTGACAAACTGTCCTGCACAACGAGATGACAGCAGGTATTTGACGATGAATAGATTATTCAAGGTATAATGTTACATATCCGATATCCCCGACCATAAAAAGTAGATGATTAATCGTTCTGTTTTGTCTCATTTTGGTTAGAGAGTTGGAAAGGAGAGACTATCATGTTAAAGTTGAAAGCAGAGCTTCAAAGACGAAAGAGTGTTAAGATTTTGCAGCTAGAGGTTATTACTAACTAGTTCGCAAGTTAGGTTTTTACACAAAATTTCCGTTTTCCATCCCCTTCGGTGGGCATTTAAATGATGTTAATGCTTTACCGGCTACCTCAAAAAAATAAAGTAAATGACAAGGGATAGTTCTGTGCAAACTGGGGTGTAAAGCTGAAGCCATTGAATAATTGGCATTTGAAACAAATCAACAGCTTATATATTGATTCAAATAATGTGTAAAAATGGTACAATAAAATATACCGTGAGTGACTGGCTGATCATCTTCTTATTCTTTCACGTCTTTTGACAATCTCAGATTACGGGTACATATTGAGTAGAGAAAATGGATTGGCAGGCTTTCATCTGTTAAAAAAAGGAAAAGTTCGCCCAAGATGATTGATCAAAAGGATACCAAATGGCACGGACGCTTCTCCATTAATCAGATATTGGTCTATTTGAACCACCCTTATGACCATAGTACATAGGTAAAAGACACCGCGATCCATGTTTCCTTCATAACACCGCCAATAAAACATCCATAGTGCCACTATACAACCGATGGGAATGGCCCATCTGCCAAAACAAATACATTCGTCGTAACTTCAGAACGATACGAAACAAAAATTGGTCATTTTGACATACTTTTATTGAGAATGCATGACAGAATGGTTACAATAACAAGCAAGTTTGTTTCAGAAGTGCTATATTACCTGTCCAAATCAAGAATGGGACTGTAGACAAGAGTTTCCCAAGTGGCCACAACAAAATGCCACACAGGGTTGTAGTAAAGAGACTCTGCTGACCGAAACATCCTCGTATATGTCTCCAAGAATATAAATAGTATCCATGCAGCCATTTCAATCAAAATGAACTTTATGATAAACCGGCCAACCACCACCATGACAAGGGAAAAGACAACCAACCAATTCAAGAGCCTTTGATTGTATTCCTTGATAAATAGAGACCATGACTTTCCCATCATCTGCAAAATAAATGATATTTCAGAAGTGCTATATTACCTGTCCAAATCAAGAATGGGACTGTAGACAAGAGTTTCCCAAGTGGCCACAACAAAATGCCACACAGGGTTGTAGTAAAGAGACTCTGCTGACCGAAACATCCTCGTATATGTCTCCAAGAATATAAATAGTATCCATGCAGCCATTTCAATCAAAATGAACTTTATGATAAACCGGCCAACCACCACCATGACAAGGGAAAAGACAACCAACCAATTCAAGAGCCTTTGATTGTATTCCTTGATAAATAGAGACCATGACTTTCCCATCATCTGCAAAATAAATGATAGGTTTGAAAACATATTATTTTGCAAAGACATTTGTGCACAGCAGATACAATTTCAATTACGAAGCACCATAAATATAGCTTTTCCATTTAATTGGCAAGTGGAATTTTAAAAATGTTCTGTCCCCTTGTCACCCACAATTCCTTCAAATCCAAGGCGTTTAATTTTATTGAAATTATTTTGGTTTCAGCTCCACCGTAGAAGACCAAAAGTACTTTAACTTAACTTCATTGATTTAAGCTTTAAATTGATTCAGACTCATTTACAAATGCTCTCTAACACTCTTAATCAATAAAATTTAATGGAACTCCATCTTTGTGCTAAATATCACGACAGAAGGAAAAAAAACATTTCATAAGAAAAAGGAAACAGAGAATAGAACTGCAAAGACTCCTGATTTACCTTCACCATGCATTGCTTGTAGTTTGCCTTTGAAGGCCCAATGCACTCCCGTTCAAAGCTTTGGTTACATTGCACCAAACCTGCATTAAATTTTGCCATGGTAGGAAGTCTCAGAACTTGAAGCTGGTCCACTCTGTCCTCACATTTGGTATATAGCGCCTCACAGAGCCTTGAGGACTGATTCGTTTGCCAGAATGACATTTTTATACACCTAGACAAAATTTTCCGCATTATGGACATGAAACTTACAAAAGTTTGTAGTCGACAAGATCAGACTACATACAAAGTGCATTCAAGAGTAGGATTTATTACTTTATCTTTAAAACCCCAGATATACATTTATATCAGATATAAGAACATGCCTAGCAAGATAAATAGTTAACCACAAAAACATCTTCATATAGATTTTCTGCTCGTTTGCAATAGCAATTGATCAAATAGCTTAAATCAGAGTGACCCCTATCTGGATTTCCAAAAGTAATAGGAAATTTGAAAAACTCAAGAAACTTCACAAAAGATAAATGTGTTACCTGTTAGTGAAACTTCTCATATGGGTGTCTATTTAAGTTTCCTACTTGTTTCCTCACTTACAAAATCTTCTTTTCCCACCACTAAACAAGAATCTGAATTATTTGGTAAAATGAAGAACCAAGAATTTGAATTCCTAATGTAAAAAATTTTTAATGTGTGAATTGATAAAAGTATTAGCCCCTTAAAATGCTGGTAAATGCCTCTTTCATTTCTTCATCCGCCAGCATGGCAGATCTCTTTGCATGGTGACGGCCAAAATGTTGTTCATCAAAAGCCTTCATTGCTTCCTCTCGGGACCTTTCATGAGCATCTTGTAAGGATTGCTCTGGCATAGCTAGACCTAATTTTCCCATCCTTTCACTGTATAACTTCAAACATCGCTCAAGAATACCTTTATTGAAAACCTCTACAAGAAAGCCTGTTGATGGGATCTCCCCTTTATTCAAAGCTTCAAGTATCTATTAAGATTAAAAATAAAAATTCATATTAATAATGCTAAGTTGTGAACATCAATAAATCACCATTCCTAACAATTAGAAAACTCCAACTTATCCAAGACCAAAAGGTCTGAGAATGTGAAGATAAACTAACCTGCTCCAGGAATGAAACAAACTCCTTTCCATTTAAAGGCTTGCCCTGCACAATCTTTGGGTGTATAACACTAGATACAAGCTCTTTCAATTGCTCTCTTTTCTTAACATACATGGGATCAAGGTCATCATCCTTCAGGTCACAAAGCTTTGTTCACATGAGATGAGGCTGTAAGTTCAAATTCAAGCAATTAGATACTAAAGGTTTAGATTTTAACAATAACTTTATCTATTAGCCGACAAATAACATAGATCTACAGCAGATCAACAAATGAGCAAAAGCATATACACATTCCATCATATCCTAAATTTCACTGCAGGCATGCACAAATATGTATTTGCCTTCCATACCACCCATAAACAAAATACAAATACTGACCATAACCATTGGTTATAAAATGTCTACGTACATAAGTCTTATACCCACTTCATGTTCAAAAAAGATTACATCACACTCAAGCATCCGTTTACATTTCTGTTCAGAATGAAAATAGCAATGGAAAAGGGGAGAAAGGGAAAAGAGCCAAGGCATCATATGAGTAGTAAAACAAAAACATTTGAAACTCATACTTGTGGTAGGCTAAATGCCGTGCTGTTATCACCCATTACAGCTAAGGAGTCCCGGATCTGATTAACCTGATAAAGTTCCAAGAACTGTGAAATTCTGATCCAAGAATTAGTCTAGTGATAGCCTACAACTGCGGTCATGGAAGGAATACCTGATCAATTATTTTGTCCCCCGAAGATACAACAGACACACACCATCATACGACCATCCCAAAAATAAAGCAAGATTAACATAAATAAAATCTGTCCAACAATTAAGCATGATTGAGTAAACTAATCATCAGTGTTAGGGACATATCTAAGTGCCTCATCCACCATTTCTTTCACTGATTTTCCTTCTGTATAAAACCAAGAAAAATGTCAGTGAATTGCCCCAGAATTGCAAGGCAGAGGTAATAGCCTAACGGTAGCCACACAATTTACCACCAAAAAGAAGGTATTGAGTTCAAATCCCCTCTCCTTAACTTAACTGTAAAAAAATTCCATCTAAATTGCAGAAAAATAGAAAAGAGCAGAAAGGAGTGTCTTCCAAATCAGAAGCTTAGCACAATCTTTTCCACAGCATTTTAAAAGAAGTTTAAGAGCATGGTAAATGGATCCAAAGAAAAGTTTAACCAGACATAAATACAAGCATATAAAATAAAAAAGAATTTGACATAGAATAGAAGCTACAAAGGGATAATGGATAACTTTGTTGCAGATATAACATTACAGGCACTGTCATATAAGCTAGTATGTCACAGGTACATTGACATTTAAAGTAGCAGGGACTTGTGACACTTCATAAATCGTATGCTGGAAGGAAATTATGAACTTACGCAGAAAATCACGCTGGATAAGCCACAAAAGTTTTTCAGGTTCAAAAGCAATGTCTTGCCCTTACAAAAAATTCAGTTACTTGAGAATCTCCATAGCAAAACAACCTTCATTGCACAAGCATAAATATAACAAACATTTTAGGGGCTTATAAATTACCTTCACTCTGTTCAATGAAATATTTGTCAAGCAAACCACAAAACAAGTTAGCATCTACATTAACATGCATTAAAAAACAAAATAGCACCAAGCTTGCTCAGTGTACGAAATAAATTGATAATACTTTCAATTCAGAATATGGCATAAGGGCAAACCTTCCATAAAATTCTTCAGCAAGCTCAACAGCAAATGATAGCCGAGATATGTCAGCTTCACGGATCTAATGAAGAATAGCAAAAGCAGGAGTATCAACAAAAAATCAACCCATCAAAGGCAGCTGCTAATTCTGGGCTTCAAGAATTTTGACCCAGAAATCCACAACCTTATGCATAGACCGCAAAGCTACATGAAGACCTTAAATATGAAAATTGACAGCACCTCTTTTATAAATGTACAATAAGAAAAGCCCTTATGAGACCTCTGGATAGCACTTTAATTTTAGCCAAGAAGAGGAGGTAGTGTTTAAGAATTTCTTATATTGGAAGACATTTTTCTATTTAAAAGAATATTTCCTGCAGATAAATCAATTTTAAATTTATCAAAATCCAAAAAAAAAACTTTTTATTTTTTTGTTTTAAGAATCAAACATATCTTAACCCCAAGAATTTCACACCTAAATAATACTTAATATCTAGCAAAACCAATCTTCATACTCATAGAGCCCTAAAGTTAAGTAAGTTTTCACTCAAAATTTTTTGTAAAAGCAAGAATTAATGTATGATACTGGTGTCCTAATTTTATATCTCAAGAAACATTTAGCTTCATGGAATTTAGCTTGAACTACTAATCTTTTCAGCTTCCCAATATGTAAATGTTCCAAATAAGAGCATCTAAAAACAAGGAAAATTATAGAAAAAATAACTAACCGTCTCGGGCAGGTTATAAATTAGTACAGAACTCATAACAGTTGCAAAAGCAAAAATCCTGCATGAACAGACATCAGAAAGGCAATATGACTAAATATATACTGTATAAAGCAAGTTAAAGTACATATGCTGGGATTACCTATCGTCATATACATTTGACTTCCCAACACTTTCAAAACCCTCAGTATCAAGGTAGAAAACAGAAGTTGTTACTCCATTAATATCCAATTCTAGTGGGGTTCCCCAAACCCAAATCCCTGGTAGAGATAAAGTGTAAACATAATCTATTTAACAGTTGTGCATAATTGTAATATCATTGCTGTCTTACCCTTTGTTTTTGCGTCACGCATGTGTCCCACACCAAATCCTGAGGGATAAACAGGAAAAAACATAAAGAGCAAGTCATCAATTCAATCCCATTTAAACTGTCAAAAATGTTGAAACTGACAACAAGGTCAACGAAAAATAGGAGCATATTGCAGTGTAGAATGCACCTTCATACCAAGACAGCGAAAGAAGTTGATTTAGCGGAAAAGATTTACCAGAGCGGTAGGGACCAATGACCGGGATATACAAATCCAAAAAGATTGAGTACACGTGGGAGAATAAAGACCAAAGGGATTATTATCAAAAGGCAAATTAGGAGCAATTTAAAATTTGAAATGATATGTTGCAGGAGCAAACCAATATTGTCAACCAGTATTTCACTCAGAATAACATGTTTGAAATCATTGAAGAAATCGGCAAATATTGTATTTGTATCTTAGATGTAACAAACAATTCAGATTCTCAAATTCATATCTGATGATTTAGTGCATCAATTTTCCCAAATTCACCTCCCATAGAGATTCTAACACTCATACTCAGGATGAATTTCCTAACCTAAAAAAGACCAACATTTCTATAACATGGGCAATTTTTTCTTTCGTTCTTACTTTCTTGGGAAAGGAAGGGTATACCTACTTTAGCACTTCACACTTTGAGTCTAATTGATATTTAGAGTCAGGTCACCATGATAAAGCGATAAACTGCAAATACACACTAGATCTCCGGGAAGGGTATCTGAAACTTACTTCCTCTTTCTTATTTTTTGTTGGGATGGTTTGACAAAAAAGGGGGGTTAGATGCCCAGCTAGAGCCATTTGCTTTAGCAATTCAAATTTTGAGTCTAATTGATATTTAGAGTCAGGTTACCAGAATAAAATCAATAAACTGCAAATACATACTAGATGTCTGGGAAGGATATCTGAAACTTACAGCAACAGCTGCAATAGGGGTAGTTATTCTGCTGATGGCTTCCAAGCCTTCCCTCGAAAGATGAAGCTTCATATGACCAGGATCAGGCTCCACAATAGGTAACCTATATGTATAAATTTAAGTAAAAGAAAGAAGGAAAAGAGACCAGCATTAGAAAAAGTAAAAGATCACTGTGACCTATTGAAAATATGTGAAGTTATTGCAAAGGCAACGTAACAAAGCAGATAATCTAGCTATGATGCAACCCAAGCTATATGGATTACAAACTTATATGGGTTTCATCATATAGCTTTGCTGCTTTATTTACACTACTATGCCACAAACCCTATGCACCATAAAAGCCGCTTTGCTCTCCAAAATAAATTTTATGTCTTCATAGATAATTCCTTATGCTTCTGATGTATATCAGAGAAACATTAAAAAAAGTTTTCAAACGTTCGCATAAATCAAGACTTTCAATGTAATGTTCCAATTTCCAACTAAGTGAGAAAAAAATCACAATCAGAACCTACCAGCAATGAGTGATCCCAAGACAACTTAGGAACTGCCAAACCTCTAGAGAGCAAGCTAATTACGCATTGGTTCAACCAAAATAACTGGTCCTCTCAAAAACATCATTGCTGAGCAAGAACCCTTTTAACTGTAACCAGACTTCCCAAATCTCAATGGCCAAAGAGTCAGTTAATCAGAAGATAATTACCATGATCTACCCTAGCCAAGCAATTGCATATTTAATTTCAATCAGGCTGTGACCTTTTTCTTTTCAAGATTTTTTTTAGTCATTTAACTTAAATTGTCAATCCCTAACATCCCATATGATATCAGGAAACTACTAACTTACTCTACGAATAAGCCTAAAGGTCATCAGTCAGTCAATGAACTTGGCAGAAACAACGAGGTCAACAAACTTGGCTCAAAATTGCCTCTCAGAACATTAGTCTAGTTATATTTTACACATACATGAAATTAGTAAAATCGTTGAAACCTCGTATTAAAGCTCAATTGTATCAGACAAAATCGTGAACATATCCAAGAGGGAAAAAATAACAAAGTGGTGGCAATAACTGTCAATAAACCAACAATGTGTCACGGAGATCTTAAAACCACGCGAAAAGGTTTCTCATTTTAAAGCTAACAATTTACAAATCATGTTGTAATCAAATCTTAACTACTACAATAGCTATAAATCAATTCAACAAAGCATCAAAGTTTAAACATAAAAAAATTAAAAAAAATACGGTTGGTGAAAATTGTCAATTGAGAAAGACCCAGATGCCAAAAGGAGGAGAAGTATCGAAACAACAAAGACCAGATAAGAAATCTCCATTGTTGGCAAAGATTGTTATTTTCCAAATGCAGATATAAGAAACTGTACAAATAAGGCGAACATGAAAGAGGTTGGGATTCGAAAAAAAGACCCAGATGGGTGTACTTTAAGAATCGTGAACGCGCGTGGGAGAAGTTCTGTTGCATCCACAAAGAAAGAAAGGGATCCATGTCGCCCCGGAGGGGAGTTTTTCTTCTTGTCTAATTTTGGAAATTAATGGGAGTGATTTTACCATTCAGGGGCGAAGGTGTGGTGAAAATGCTATGAAAAGAGGAAGGGTAAAATTGGAAATATATACATGGTAAGCTCAAGTTGACAGGAGTTGACGGTGTCAAATGTACACTTGGCTTGTTATTATTGGTTGGTTAACAAAAGTACTAAGTCGTAGGTTTTGACTTGGTTCAACTGCCCAAGCAACCCGGACAGATGTCGGACCTTATTCATGTGTCGGTCTTTCTTTTGTCTTTTTATTAATTTTCGTTTTCCATCTTATCATTCGCTTGATTTATCATTGGCTTGATTTAGTTCATGAAGCAACCCGTAACCTTTTTTTTTTTGCTTTAAATAATCCTCACAAATAAGTTTCATTATTTACACCTTTCACAAGATTAAAAAAAGCTGTAATTTTACTTTAGATATTTTAATGGGAATTTTTTATGAAAAAATTATAGCTTAAAATAAAAAAATTTTAAGAATTGAAATTTAAAATTTAAATTTGATAATAATCATTTCATAAAAATAATTACACGAATCAATTTAATTTAACTTGAAATTCATTTAAATAAAAAATTTAACTTTAAACTTGTAAAATTTTAAGTGTTGGTATAAATAAATAATATTGTTATTATCTTATAAATATCGAAACTTTAAGCATATTTAGATTTCATCATGCAATAGAATTAGTATGACAATAATTTCATAGTCAATTGAGAAAATTTCAAACACGATGACATTCTTATTTAAATATATATATATATATATATATCTAAAGTCATATCTCATGGTGACTGTATTAATAGTATTTCTTAACACAAGCCAACTACAATAAACAAATTCGGCCAAAAAAAAATAATAAACAAAGATAAATACTTTTTTTTGCTTGGTTCTCCATTTATATGTGCAACTGTAAATTGTCGTTTCATCTTTGTTTCAGAAAAATAGGAGGATATATATATATATATATATATATATTTCTCATTTACTGTTTTCCCCTACCATTGAGGAGGTAATCGTTTAGTTTCATCTCTGAAGCTCTATGAAAGAACTGCTCTCTGGCCAAGCTCCGAACTTGCTTAATGTATGAATCAAAACTCAGAGCCTCTTGTTCAAGTGCCTTGTCCAATTTATATAGCACATCCTCTATAGCCAAATCTGCAGCCGTGCACTCAAGTCTCATTCTTGACTTCTCATCAATTTCAAATGCATCCTCAATTTCAACATCTCCTGCATCCAAGGCCATTATTGGTCTTCGATCATTAACTCTCAACCAGTTCACCAGCCTATCAGTTTCCTCCGCCCAATTGTTAGATCTCTCTCTCAGGTTACTCCTTTCCCGCTCCATCTCGGAAATCATGCTTCTGGTAAAACGATCGCGACTCTTCAGTTCTTCCTGCAACAAGGATAGCTCCTCTATTTCTTCAAAAGTGCTGGTCCGCAAAGCAACCATGTCATAGTGAAGTATGCCTACAAGTCTATCAAGAGCTTCCTTTCTAGAAACAAGAGATGGGTCAGTGAAGAAGCTAGTCGTCGACGGCAAATATGAGAAAGGATGATCATGGCTAAATAGCCGGACAAGATTGTGCAAGAGGTCAGAAAGGTTGCATGGAGGATGTTTCCAGGTTAGGACATAAGGTGGGGATGTGGCACCAGAAGCGTCAACAAAAGGATGATGGCGATGAATTGGGGTCGTGGGATCAAGTGAAACAAAGACTAAAGGAGCCTTCTGAGGGTAGTTTTCATGGAGCCAAATGGTGAGAGGAATGGGAGGTGTGGAGTTGGAGACATGGACACAGCCACTAGCACATAGAAGGTTCACTTCGGTTCCATCATTGTGCGTGAATCTACCAGTTGAGGGCCTGAAACCAGGGTATTCTTGAAGCAATGAAAGGAGGTGTCTTAGAATAATCCATTTCTGTTTAGAGTCTGAGTAGGATAGATCATAAGGGCTGCTGGCAAAAAGAGCTGCTTGTATGAATTCCTTTGGGGCTGGCGATGCCATGGAAATAGCCTGAGATGGAATGCAGGAATAATGCTTATTGGCAAACGGGAATTCTGTAATCTTAGATATAAATAAATCAATCAAAGAATTAAGATCTAGAATATAGCTAGTCAATCTAGAAAAAATTTGCAAATGCCATTAAATTGGTAGGAAGCTTTCTTATGACCTTTAGCAGGTTTCCTATGGAATTTCCGCTTGGTATACTGGTCAACGATGACTCAACAACCGTGGTTTTGTTTTTACTACCTTTCTTTATATTAACATATAATATAGATGACTTTTCTGGGAAAGTATGGACTGAAGGGAGGTTTTCTCAGGCTACTTGGTCTCCTGTTACTTTGCCATGAATATTATCCAGTGAACCAATTTAATTTCACATTGATTAATTCTTTCACCAGCTGCTGATATCAACAAGTTATGTGAAGCAGCAACAAAGAAATCGACACTAATCACAAAGGAAATTCCCACAACTTTTCCATCATAGTTCCAACAGGCACCTTTATATATATCAATTATATACTTTGACCTCTCCTAAATAAAAAAATCATACCGTGAATTCTCGTTTGCTTTGAAATTTAGCAACCGAAGAAAAGAAACCAAAATCAAGAGAACGATGCCCTAAAGCCCTCACAGGTTGCCTGCAAATTCTGGATGGATGTCTTTAGCTTCGACGGATTGTATTAATTTTGACAGATAAAATATATAATAGATATATATGTTTACCAACAAGTTAAGATTTTTCTGATTTTACAAAAAAGGTTACAGTTTGAAGATAGAAAAAATAATTATAGTTATTAAGATTCAAATTTTAAATCAGCTGAATGACACTTGTTAATCAAACTAAGCTTCAGATTCAAAAATTGATTGTTTATTAAGTTAATGATTTCTGGAATTTTAGTGATGAGCAAGCTGCAATTTTCTTAATAATTACATTTATATTCGTTAAGCTGCTTGGATAAGAATCTAGAATTCTGGACTTGCAGCTAGCCTACACGTTACACTTAAGCCTTCTGACGTATCTCTTAATGATTAAGATAGTTTAGTACGCGTTTGGTTTATGAAAATAAAACTGTTTTTTATTTTCATTTTCATGAAAAATAAAAAATAAATTAAAAATTTTGTTTGGTTGTAAAAATAAAAATGAAAATAGGTCAATTAGAAAATAAAAAATTATTTTTGATTATTTTCAACGAAAATGGAACGAAGGAAATGAAAAAGTTGAAAACGGGGGGCTTTTAAAAATTTTATTTTATTTCGAGACATTTGAATCTTCGAGATCTCCAAAATAATGCCTCCATAGCCGTAAATGACAAAAGCAGCATGAAAGCATCCAAAATTTTCAGATTCGAATCATGAGGTCTTGCTGCCTCACCAATCACCACTCGTATGGCTTGAAGTCCCAGCTAGCTTCGACATTCTCACCAAGAAAGCATAAAAAAAAAAAGTAATATTTTTTTGTGGGTTCATTTTTATTTTTTATATAAAAGTTGAATTGTTTAAAACGTTAGATGATATTTTATTATTATATTATGAAATTTACGATGATTGAATGATTAATAAATATTTTTATTTGAAATTTTATATTTATTTGAATTATTTAATTATATATTTTTAAAAGATATAATTTACTTAATTATTTTGTTTTTTTTTATTTTGAAGATGCACATATTAAAGATATTTTCACAATTTTAAGTTTATATATCAAACATAATTTTAAATTTCAAAAAATAAAAAATAAAATTAATTTCATAAAATAAAAATAAAAAACAAAAACAAAAAATATTTTCATAAACCAATCGCAACCCGACTTCCCCGCTTTGCTATTTGATTTGGATGAGGACAGTTTACTTTGTATAGCTTTCTTGGAGACCAAGATTAGAGTTCATAACCAATATATATCTTATTCATATAATATTTTTAAAACAGTAACATTTAACATATAATAATTCATTCTTCTATTATTGTGATTTTTTTATAAAAAAAAAAATTCAACAAGTCATAAAATTCGGTCTCGATGTTAAATAAAAGCTAAATCATATGTTTAATCTCTCCATTACTTAAAAAATAACGAAGATGTGTTCTATTAATCTCAAGGCTTTGAATGCATTGAAATTATTTTTATTTATAATTTTACTGAATTTAAAGCTATTAAAATTCAGTCATACATTAAGTTCAATGTGCATTCCATGTCTTCGGCCAGAATATTAATATAGAATAAAAAGATTCGGCTAGATTGAGTTGGTTTTTGAATATGGGCCTCAAATCAAATTTCACAATTTTTTTTTTCGAGGAGGCTGTTTGTCATCATGAAATGTAAGCCAGTGAAGGGCTTTTCCTAGAGACCCTAAAGCCCATAAAATTTTCTAGAACTATATGTCATAACCCATGAAAACTAGCCCATACTTTTTTCAGTATTGCAGGCTTTGTAAGAAAATCCTGGGCAAACTGACTTTGGTGAATGACCATTTCATTGTGTAATCGAATTCATCCAAGTAATTAAATAGAAAGTAAGAGATTAACAAAGGGATTCTGGTGTGTTGAGGTTGCAAGAGAGATAGGATTTAGGAAAGCCCTGAATACAATAGGAAAGTAGGTTGAATGAAACTGAAAATATATAGAAACGATTTTTTTCCTTTCACTATATGATTTAGTAGCTAAAAAGCTTTGAGAAAAGCATATGAACATGAGTTCTAATCTCGTCACCCTTGTCCCTCCATAAGGGTTTTTCCTTTTTATGAACCAAAAAAGAAATAAGATTAAATCTTGAATTTTACAGAAAAAACAAGGTAAAAAAAAAAAAAAGAGGGAAAACAAGTGGAGATAGTTAGAAGGTAGGTTATTTGTTTAGGTGTAATGTGATTAGGTCAAGGTTTGGTTAGTCTGAAACAACTATCCCTCTTTCTTTCCTAATTCCCTTCTCGTTCTTCCGATTTTTTTTTTTTTTTATTGTTAATCTTTCGTTTTCTTTCTTTTTTCTTAAGGGATCTCTCCCTTTCTCTCTCACAATCTGTCTTTGGACCTTTGGCGTGTGAAACAGGGTTTCCCCGTCCCCTTTTCAAGGCACATTCTTTGCTGCAGGAGACCCACGCCCTTTCTATTCTTGGGTATCTTTGCCAACTTAAGGCAAAGCCAAGGATTGTAAAGGGCGTAAAATATAATTTGCTTCGCCAATTTAATGATTTAAAAACTGACCAACTCCATCAATGTCGGATACCTTTCGCATTGGGTTGTTAGTTTTAGGTATCCTAGAAGCTGAAAGCGGCAATTTTACCAGTTTATGGGAATGGAAAAGGACTCATAACAAAATTTACGGCTTTTCAGTTTACAATTGTGAGATTTTCTATATTTCAAAGTTTCATGTTGCAATCTAATATGAAGTTGAAATGCGATTACATGCTCAAATCACATAATTACTCACCTAACCAATATAATTGCATATTTTAAAAAAAATTATTAAATTGGAAAGGATTATTTTAATTTGGTTTTGAGTATTCTTATTTTTTTATAAAAGATGTTATAATTTAAGATAAAAAATTATAAATATTAATTTTTAAATATTAAATTTTTAAATAATATTTTTTAAAAATAATTATACAAATCAATTAAATTAAATTTAAACCAAAATTTTTAATTGAAATCTCAATTATTGCCTAACAAAACAAAGAAAATATTGGAGGAAATAATTCAGAATTTCAAACAATCTCCGCATGAAAAGTGGCATCATCTTTAAAAAAAAAAAACGTTGGTGGGTTTTAAATCACACAATTTCAGGTAACATCAAGCAATAAAATCGTGTCAGAACTTGAAATGAGCACATAATGAAAACATGAACAGACAGGTTTTAATTTCCTTTTTCTTTTCCCTAATTCCAAACCTACTTCCATCAACTTCATGCAAAGACTGAAAACAAAGGGATGTGTGGTCCAAAAATGGCGCATTAAAGGCATAATGGAGCCGTGTTTGGATCATCAGAGAGGGAATGAATCTCTCGTGTCATTTTCGCCAACAGAACCACCGTTTTTGTCTTGTTGTTACAGTTTTATACAGCCAGAAAACTTTGGCTTTGAAACTATCAAACTCTCCCAGGGTCCTATTTCTTCTCTCTTCTCCGTCTACTCTGTTAGTGCTAAATAACAAACGTTGGCCGTTGCAGCAGCTTGGTCTGGTCTCTCTGTTTCAAAGTTTAAGGGTCTGGTGCCTTTTTTTTTTTTTTTTGAAATTTGATAATTGTAGCTAAGAAATAAAGCAAGTAAGCATTGTGCTTGTACCAAGCTACGATCTTAGAGTATTTTTGACAAGATAGAAAAGAAGGTAATTAAAGATAAAGGCAGGGGATATTCTTTGTATTTATATTTCAACATGCATGTCAGAATAAATGGGATTAGCAGGAGAGTAATAAAGAGAAATATCAGTAGCATGAATTTGCCTTCACGGTATTTAGTTATTTATATTTATAAATAAATAATGAGAGATTATTAGGGAACAATAAAGATAATATCGAGCTTATATGGTACTAGATGTGTCAGATTAATTTGATATGTCAGATTAGTATAAATATCAAAATTATCTCTAATTGTTTGCTGAAGGCTTCTAACAAAAAAAAAATTACTATGCCCTTTTAACTACTAAATGCTTACAACATTCTATCCCCTCATCAAGCAATATAAGTGTCAAACTACTAAATGTATGATCAGTACACTCCATATAGATTAGGTTTGTAAAAGATGACATGAAACTTAGTTTCGGAGTTGATGTCATAAAGGAGATTGGTATTGAGAGATAAATAGCCTTAAATCATTGTTCAACTTGGTAAGAATCTGATCTCATGCATATGTCTTAAGTTGAGTGCATAGCCAACTTGAAGGTTGTCGAGGTGTTAATTGTTTGAATTGGTCTGAGATTAGTGGTGGAGTTTGTTTGGTCATCATGAGACTTGTATTTCATTTCAAAAGTTTGGATTCGAGTCTCTACTTTGAACTCTGGTGACAAATTAGGCATCTAGTTTGTCTCGATGGGTTGTCCATTTTAGTTGGTTTGACTTGAAATTCGTCCAATCTGGCCAATTTGATGGCATTAAATAAAGAGAAAGATAGTTTAAGCGAGAAAATTTAAAGAGAGAAGATGAAAAGACATCTTCATATTTTCGTTCTGATGTGTGGCGTGGTC